AAAATACGGTATTAAATAGTCTAGGGAGGTAATAGGTCCTCATGAAAGTTTAGTATCGCAACAGCAAATCCGACCAAAGTTGGGATATTTTTCAGACCTTTATCCCTTGTTTTTTTGAAAGTTAATTTAGACGATATCTGATAAAATGGACTGTTTTGTGTTCAAACTTACAAACTTTTTTTTTAATCATTATCATTCTTATTAAATCAGTCGGCACTTCCCCTCAAAATACTTTTCTCACGTTATAACCTTTATCATTTCCGCCAAGGCCAATTAAATTTAGATTCGAGCTAGAAAGTCTCATATTAAAGGTAAAGTATTTTCTAACAAAGAAGACTAAAGACTTCATATTTAGGAGGACTCGAGCTCGAAATATCTTATTAAGAATAAATAATTATTTATCATTCCACTGCAACCCTTGTTGGTCATCATTTTTATGGACTTGTTAATATGTCCAATAGAGTGAAGTAAAATTGATTTTTCACCTAATTTGATATTATTATTTTTTTCCTTTTGATTAAGCACGTGTTTAAAAATCAAGAATCAATAATATCAACATGAAAGATATTTTGTCATGGTCTAATAGAAATTTAAAATTGTAGAATTTTTCAATTTTCCACTCAAAATTGATAGAAACGTCAACGACAGAATACGTAATAGAAACATTATTTTATTAATTTTATACGTTTTCCTAATTCCAAAATATAAATAATTAAATTCAACGTTCAACTGGTTTATTTTAAACCTTTTTATAAGTCAACTTAAAAGGAAGTTTGAAAAGAAAACGTATTCCGTGTTAGGAAACAAACAAAAAGAAAAATCAAAAGTCAGATAAAACCAACGGAATAAGATTATTAATCAAACAAGACAGTAGATAATAATAGTCTATTTTGTCAAAATTTTCAAGAAATTAAAAATATTTATTTTTAAAATATTTGACGTTTTTAAGGAAGAAATAATTGAGTCTGAGTATCAACAGTTTTTTCAAAAATTGAAAAAAATAATTTCTTCAATAATCTCTTTTTCAAAGCTTGACTAAGCATAAATTGAAAATTCCTACTCTAATATTGAGAAAAGTATTTATTTTTTCAAATTGATTATCAAAAAACAAACCAAATCTCTCTAATTTTATTTTTTATAAAATACTTTTCAAAATAAGCTGATTTTGGACATTATTAGAAAGAAATTAAGAGGAACTTGTGCTCGGAAAAGAAAGATTTTTTAAAATAAAGATCGGAAAAACCAATTATAGAATAATCTTACATGGCACAAAATTATTTTTTTTCAAAGTACATACATATCTATTCATCAAAATTTATTCATAAAAATAAAACAAATGAAGCATTCTATGAAACCACAAAAGAAGTGATACTTGTCATGGCTGACACAATATTCACTCGATTTCTGGGCCAATACAGGAGAAACGACCCTAGTTTATTAATTACTCAACCTCTAAATCGCGTAACGTGACATAACAATTCGAAATCCCAACAGCCAATTGACAAGTAATGTGCCTCTTCTCATCATTACTTCTTCCATAGTAAAGCCATTCATCCTTGTTGATAACTTTTGAACAATAATTGCAATATAGCTTTGATACCTCATTCTTATAAGGAAATGAGTAACACAAAGTTAAATCAAGCTTTTTTAATCTCCTTGGACAAGCAGCACATGATGGATGAAGTTGATATTCACAAATCTTGCATTGGTACAAAACTGTGTAATTTGTGTGACAACCACTTGATTGACGACATCCAACACATTGAACTTCAACTCCGTCTTTTTTAGGAACAAGTGTTAGTGGATGTGGATGAAACGGATGTTGAATTTTCTCAGGCAAAAAAGAACACCTCTCATGAATAATGAAATCACAACTTGAACATCCTTTTTTCTTGTCTGAACTCACATCCATACCACAAATTCCACATTTTCGATTCTTCACACTATTGTCCATCGACCTATCCAATTGTTGCAAAACATGTCGATGAAAAAATCTCTTATATTTCATTCCTTCATCATCATTCTTTTGATAGTTTACTATAGAAGTATCGTCCCCATCAAGATTAATCAATCCATTTTTCACACCAATAATATAATCTTTATCATTTCCTCCTTTTCCGTATACACAATCAGCAACACACCCAAAATGTGTAACAAAATTATGACCATAATCATAATATACCCAACCACTCGATTTTTCTATCGAGTGATTGCAAATATCACAAAGGAGTGGTCCGGCTTCATTCCTCAAAGGATTCGAGTAAAATACAGACAATGTCATTTCCTTATGAAGAACTTTATAAGACATAGACGCACACCCCATATGAAGAGAAAAATCACAGTGATCGCATGAATAATGAAAGTTGAATAATAAAGCAGGATTATCACCAACGTGACATGCTTTGCAATTAAATTGATCGTTACTACTATACTTGAGAATTAATTGATGTCCAGGATGAGCCAAATGTTCGATAACTTGTGGAAATTCGAAACATGACTCATGTAGAAAATACCTACAACGTTTGCACCCGTACGACATGCCTGAAATTGTGGTTTCACAGAAATTGCAGTGCACAGAATCCGAGGCACGCAACGAGTACGTTAACAAATTATGTCGATGACTGAAGTGTTTACGTTCATTGTTTCCAACTTGTTGAATCTCATCAATCGTACTATTATTACTACTATAGTTCGATTGATGATTTTTGATCGATGATTGTTGAATGCTTACTTCAGATACGTAACGGAATCGACAAGGGAATGGATGATCTCGGAGAGAGATGAATTCGTTTTTTTCTAAGTTTTTGATTTTCATATGGGAGTCCATTTGTGTTTGAGAAGAATAAGAGTTTTTTTTTTTTGTGTGTGTAATTTGGAGATTTAATGGTTTGTGGGGAAAATACATTATTGTAAAGAGTTATATAAAGGGGAAAAATTGAGTCATAATAAGTTGAATTTCAACAGGGGATACTTTCATCAAGTTGATGACTGAAAGTGGCGTTCACATTAAATGTCTTGTTTACGCGTTATACTTGACTAGATAATTGTTTGAATATTTGCCAATTCTAATTTTGTGTCTAGAAGAATGATTAATGCTTACAAAAATTAAATAGTTAGCTAACTAAGCAAAAATTAGTATCTCCATCCTATATTAGTTGGAGTACTCCACCTTTTTCTTTTTCATGACTCGAAATTTTGAATCCACGATATTTAAGTTGGAAGTGAAAGGTGTTTATTATTTAAGCAACTCTCTCTTGTTTCTACTCCGTTCATTCTTTTTTGATCAGTGATTCATCGGCCACTAGATCGATGAAGAATGTGACATTCTTTTGTTTTTAATTTGTTCTAAAAAGAATGTCATTTTACTATAATTAAAAATAATTTGATTTTAAAATTTCTGACTTACTCTTAATGAATGATTTATAACCACATATATATAAGAATTTTCTAGATTACCAATTTAATTTTTTAAATATATATATATCGTATCACATAAAATATGACAGAGAAATTTAGCTTAGAAAAATTGATCATATGTTCAAAATATTGGAAAGGTCAAAAGAAAGAAGAAAATTTAAATGTGTTAGTTGTAAAAGACTTTTAGTAGTTACTACACTTTTCCTCTATTTTACTTTTCTTTTTTCTTCTTAATTTTTTAATTTGACTAAATTATTCTTATTTATTATTTTTATCCAATTTAATAGTACTATTCTATTTTTCTCTATATTAATTCTCTGTCTACATTAAATGAGTAAGGGTAAATGTGAAAATCAATAGTTAATTATTTTAGTTTTTCAATATGATAATATTGTTAGATCATCTATATATAAGGGATATTTGAAAATTAATAGTCAATTATTTTAGTGTTCTAAAATGACAACAACTCTCTTTGTTCACTTTTACAAAAAAAAATAAAAATCACTAATAATTATTTTTTCCCCATATTTACCCTCACTAATTATTTATTTCCAAATCATTTTTCAAGATTTAATACTAAACATCAATTAATAGATCAGATAATGATAAATAGTCGTATCAATTATTATTTTTAATAGGTGTACCAAAGTCCAAATATAACAAATCAAAATGAAGGGAAGGAGTATTTTAGATCATCTATATAAGGATAAAGGTGAAAATTAATGATTACGCATCTTGATTTAAAAAAAAAGAAAACTAGTTTTTCTTTTTGTAAAAACAAACTAGTTTAGATCATCTATTTTTAATAAAAACGGATCAAGAAATAAAGTGGACAGGGAGTACACACCAACAAGTGGATCTCTTTCTAATTCATTGGCCTACCTAACAACATTTTACTTTTTGTTTTTCACCCGATATTCAACGCTTGTATTGAAATTCCGACTAAATTTAGATTACACATTGTATGATTTGTTCGAGGGTGACGTTCCCAATAAAATTTTGTTAATACCCCAATACCTAAAATACCATACATTTCAATGATTTCATATATAGTAGTCAAATAATATGAACTTAGCCATTCAAGTCAACGAATATAAATATAAATAAAAAAAGAAAGAAATAACATTAGATGATGAAAACAATGTCTAATCTAAACTTAATTAGCACATTCAAGAAAAATAAATGTCTTTTCTAACAAGTTGTGGTATGTGAACATATCATGATATGTGTTACTATTAGTTGATAAACAGTTTTTTAAAACCCTGTGCTATTATCAATTTTAAAATTGGTGGCTAATCTGTGAATTGTATTTATGGTTGTGCATGTGTGAGAATTGAGATTAATTATTCTTTTTTTAAATCTAACTCAATGGTATTAATGGTGGTTGTTGGGGGTTGAAAAACATCATAGATAGTGATAGCTTTTGTATAGCTCAATAATTTTTGTGCCAATTTTCTATTTATATTAAAAATTTATTTGATAGATATTACATATATATAATAATTTACAAATGACCAACTAAATAAAAATAATTGTGGGGTAGAACTTATAAATTAATTTGTGTGGCTTAAAATCAATATCCAATGGTTATTATTGATGAGTGGTGATAAAAATAGTACTCTCTTTAACGGCGGTTTATTGTGATGAGTCAGACAGATAATTATGTCTAACGATTTGATTTATTGGATATTGAATTTTAAATATATTAATCTACTAATCAACAATAAGTTATTGGTTAATTCGATATTGAATTAGTAACTAACAAACTGAGCAGTGTATTAACTCAGTCATTTCATGCTTTCTTGTCAGATTAAGGTCAGTTTCTACTGTTGAAATTCCAAAAAAAATACTCCCTCCGTTTTAAAATGTATGGTCTAGTTTGACTTGAACGAAGTTTAAGAAAAGAAAGAAGACTTTTTTAATTTTGTGGTTCTAAACTAAAATTATGTCACATATACCAAAATGCCCTTTAATCTTGTAATTTTAAACATGTCATATGGAAAGTTGAAGTTAAAGTGTTGCAAAAAAAAAAAAAGTCATTCTTTTTAAAACAAACTAAAAAAGAAACTACATTATTCTTTTTAAAACATGGGAGTACATTCTACTATTTGTACCCATTTGATTTTATGTTTTCTTTTATCTAATCATTTCTGCAAAAACATATTTCTGGAGCTTTGTCGAAAATTCTCAGCTACTCCCTCCCTCCATCTCTCAGAACTAACCTAACAATACCTTTATGTTTTACTCTTGTGGGGAGTGTTCGGTACGAAGGAAAACAGGATAATAAATAAGTTGCTTATTTTTTTTTTTTGTGTTCCATATATATGAAAAATTATTGTTTAAAATTATTTATATATAATCTTTGTACTTGGATTCGATGTGGATGGTCTTTCGGAAATAGCCTCTCTATCTTTATGAGATAACATATTCTATTTGTGAGATTTCACTATGTATGTTATTGTTATTGTTATTGTAATCTGGACAAATACTATAAGAGGTGGGGCCAGCTACAGAGAGTGTGGGCGAAGATGAGCTAGGTTAGAGGGTGGAGAGGACATATGAATGTAGAATGTCACTCGTTAACTTATTGTTTTTCCTACTTTCATTTAGAAAGTCAGTTTGCTCATCTAAGCAATTTATTCCGCTAGAGAAAATATTTTCCAAAAGTTTTGACAGCACACCCATGGTGTAGAATGGAACTTGCTCATGAAGCTGAATCTATCTTAGAGCTCCTAGCATTCCTTTAGTTTTAGACAGGACTGTACTTTTAATTTGTTTTCTCACTTTTGCCACAATGTTCCTAGTTTTATACTATGCTTGTTGAGGCATACAGCTACACTGGGTGAAATTGTCCTCAAGGAGCTTTGAAGAATTCCCTGCTATGTTTCGTGGTCAAGTATTTTCCGTAGGATTTCCAATACTCTTTGCATCAAGAAGATGAACATCGCACTTGTAAAAAATCAATAAATTGTATCTTTACTTGTAAAAGTGAATATTCCTGAACCATAGGAAGATGTGATCATATCAGCCAGGAGAGGAAATTGCAGAAATGCAAATAAAGTTACAGGAATGCTAGCAAGTGCTGCCACTGGAATGATAATCCAGGCCATTTGACGTCCAAGCACAATGAAAAAGCTTGAACAAAATGCTACCAACATTGCTGCTATAGCAACAAAGAGCGAGATGAAGCCGATGATCAACCTTTTTGGTAAAGTACATAGGAAGTCTTCTTCGGCATAGCGTGAAGTGAGGATAGACAAGAACATCAATATAGAGATTACTGAAGAAAACAATGCCAGTGCATCCATCATAGAGAAAATAATGAATGCTTTCTCTTTAAGAAAAAACGCAGTGCCTGTATCGTTATTGTTCCCTCCTGGCACAGTAAAGATTGCTGCAAACATTACTGTTGTAATTAATGCAGCAACAAGCATGCAAGATGATGCAGTTTCCTTCATCCACTTCTCTCCCTCTTTGACCAATTCCTTGTGCTCCTCGGTGAACAGCATTCCTGGTGTTCGACCCCTTGAGTCTCTCATCTCCTTATATGAGGCTTGAACAATTGTTTCAACTTCCTTTAGACATGCAGAAGTAGTAATACGTAATGAAATATAGAAAGAAACTACACTTGAAGGAAAGCAGCTTTAATCGACATGGAAAAATTACCTTAAACCACAATAACTCTCGTTGCATCTGGAGTGCTGCACCTGATACAATACCAAGTCGATTTGTAGGAGCTAACTTTGCAGCCAAGTGTAAAATGTTCTCATTATTTGTGCTTTTGTAGGACGTAATTATATCTTTGTGTGATCCTATGTTATAGATTAGTTTGTAGATCTTTTCTTGTCGATGAATGACAGCAATGTGAAAGATGCTCCGGCTTTCCTCATCTACCTTCCAGATAAGATCTGGATAAGACTGAATAAGCTCTACTATGAACTCAAAATTTCCCAACTCTGCTGCTACAAACAATGGCCGCGAAGGACTTCTAAGTAAGTTCCCAATTTGTGAATCATTCAACAAGAGAACTTCTTTCCATGAACATTTTACCAATTCAAGGGCTTGTAAGTGCATTAATTTTGTCTCGAGAACTTTTCTGACTCCTAGTGTTGAAAAACTCCAGATTAGGTGTTTCTTTTCACAGGTACAGAGAATAATAATCAAGAACTTGGGACCATGTCATACGTTCCATACCGATTGTTTTTAGTAGATGCTGAATTACCCTTGTGCTGATCAGGTATGCTGCATTTCCAAAATGTTTATGATCAGTTGGATACATAAATGCTATTACAGAGAAGCTAAATATTACAACTGGAATAAATATACCTACATACCCTTGGTATTGTTTTTTTCGGTTGAGCTGCTGGACATGTTGCTTGATCTATTCTGCAAATGAACAGATACATCTATAGGAAGTCCCATTAATCGGAAGTTCCATTAATCTAGTGATATATAAATATAAATATATATATATAT